GACCTCATGGAGGAGGCCATTCACAGAGTTAGACTGTAGAGTCCAGAGCCTGACCTCATGGAGGAGGCCATTCACAGAATTAGATTGTAGAATCCAGGTGCGGTGGCCCAGTCCTGTTATCCCAGTACTGGGAGGCAGAGGCAAGGGGATCAGGAACTCAAAGTTAACCTGGTCTACACAAAACTCTCTACCCAAAGCCAAGAATTAAAAAAATGAAAAGAAATAGGTTGTTGTCACAAGCAAGGAGAGAGGGCAGTGAGCAGAGTCACTGAGGTCACTAAAGGATCCTCCTTGACTGGGCCTGATGATGGCAAACTGCACAGGAAGCGGCACCGTCAGCCAGCCGCCGAACCCGTTCAGTCAGACACACTCTGGCTGCTCCATTATCAACTCCTTATTTTATTTATCTTCGCTTTTTTCAAGACCGCGTTTCTCCTGTGTAACAGTCCTGGCTGACCTGGAACTCACTCTGTAGACCAGGCAGGCTGGCCTTGAACTCAGAGATCTGCCTGCCTCTGCCTCCCTGAGTGCTGGGGTTTTAAAGGAGTGAGCCACCACGGCTGACTACTTATCACCTCTCACATGTGACGGTTAGGATTTCCCTTTCTTACTAAACTTGATGGATTCCCGTCCACTTGCAATTCATGCTGTGGTTTCCCATCTGAGTGCCTGAAAGCTTCTTTGTAACCCATCTCCCTACCTTGCTCATGCTTCCTCCTGCAGTTGTTCTGGGCATAGATTACTTCCTGTTTCTACTCATTGCTTTTGGGAACAAGTCCTTAGCATGTCATTTACTATCCCCAGCCAGTTGTGACCTGACCCGTACTGAACTCTCTAGCTGACTGTTCACTTCTCACTGGCCCCTAGCAAGAGCATCCACAAACAGTGCCATACACACACGAGCAACATACACAGTAAGGGATGTAGCATAAATGCAAATTCCCACACCATACACGTTCATACATAACACAGAAACTCACATGTTCTAACAGTCATATGGAAGTGACTACTCACACACGACATACCCTCAAAGCCTACGTGCTCCATACGTTCTCACATGCCTATGCGTGTGCTTGATGTACTTCAGTTGCGCACGCCAACACTATGTACTCCACACCCACTCATCACTTCAGACTTACGTACCACACGTTCTCTTACACACATCACGTTCAGCTACTGCTCACTCCTGTAACACTAGGAGCAGGTCTTTGTCCACACTGCACTTTCTCCTAGAATGTTGCTTTCTGCCTTCATCATGAGCTGTTTAAACTCCTCCATAAAGATCTATCTGTAAACTCTGGGAATTGAACTCAGGTCCTCTGCAAGAGCGCAATGCTCTTAACTATTGAGACATTTCTCCAGCCCCAAGTGTTGTGGGATATTTAATCACACTGCGAACCCATTAAGAGAGTCATAGGGTGTCTGTAAGATACACAGGTAGTAGTAGGGAGAGGCTTAGTATAGCATAGGTTCTTTTGTTTTGGCAGAGTGGAAGGACTTTTTTTCAGAGATGCCAGCAAAGGGAGAAGGTCAGCTAATTGCTACTCAACTTCTCTGAGCTAGCAAGCTTTCACCCCAGCCTTGGGCTCCCGAGTCTCATTGATAAACAGAAGGATAGAGATTTAATTAAAAGCTATATTAGATGGCAGCAATAAAGCCAATGCCTGTGGGAACAGAATTCCCACCAGGCCACAGTCTGAGTGATTGGGCTGCAGCGAGAGAAGGAGGTCAGTAACCATGGAGCCACATTTGCTGACGAATGTAACAGTAGATTAAAGTTCAGCCTCTGTGCTGCTGGAAAAACAACACCCACGGATTTAAGATTTAAATTTAAAAGCCAGGTATGGTTGTATGCACCTGTAATACTAGCACTCTAGAGGCTAAAGTAGGGAGATAACCACTTTGAGGCCAACCTGGGCTACATATTGAGTTCAAGACCAGCCTAGACTACATAGCGAGATCCTGTTCCAAACTCACAAGGGCCAGGGAGTTGGCTCTACAGATAAAAGCACTTAATACAAGCATGAAGACCCAATTTGGATCACCAGAACCTGTGTAAAAGCTGGACATGGTGGACATATGTCCACTGTGCAGACTCCCATGATGAGATCAGAGGCAGAAACTGGAGAATCCCCCATAAGCTCGTGAGCTGGGAAGCCTAGAGTGTATATGACAGTGGCAGAAATAAGAGGACCCCTGACTCAGAGAAGAGGAAAGATGAGAACAAAGGCCTGCAGTTGTCCCTGACCTCCACACATGTGCCATGGCATGTGCATGCACGTCCTCACATACAAACCCATACACAAAGACATGCTTGAAAGATGACTTTAGAAAGCAATGAAACCTAAGGCTTGAAGTAGGAAGCCTGAATCCAGCTTCTTAGACGGTGGAACTTCTTAAAAACTTCGTACCTCCTCTATGCATACTTTTGTCATTTTGCCTGTCATGAGTGACAGGACATTTAAAACTGGAGGTGCGTGTGTGCTTGTGACCACTACCAGGGAAATAAAGAGTGTCCAGTGCAGCCAGGCTCGACGGTAAGGAGCCCAGGAGGCAAGGAGGAAGACCTGAGGGAATTGAGTACAGTCCAAAGGACTTCAGCCTTGTAGTATGAAGGTCTGAGCTCTATACCAGAACTTTCCTCCTGAGACAGTGTCATGTGTAATCCAGGCTGGCCTTGGCATCACTGTGTAGCTGAGAGTGACTTTCAACTTCTGTTTTTCCCGTTACTGGCCTGTGTCGTCACACCTAGTTCCGGGCAGGGAGCAAACCCAGGCATGCTCAGCAGGCGTTCTACCACCTGCACTCACATCCCCACCCCCTGGTGAGACTATTTCCAGGGATTAATTAGGCCTTCAGGATCCTCTGATGCTAGCTTCCCTTGCAGTTGGGTGCTGTAGGTGGATTGGCTGAGGGTGGAGGGGCAGGGCTTGAAGCCTGAGCTTGGGAGTCTCAGCGATTAACGTGAGTCAGGATGTAGATAACTGACTTGGCTTGGGAACTCAGGAAGAGAGACTCAGCAAAGGGTTATTATTCCCAAATGCCGTGCAGAGGTGGAGAAGGCGCTTGGGTGGCACTTAGGATGTTACTCATAACCTTTCTAGAACAGCCTTGTTGGCGTCCACTGCCAGGCTGTAGAGGTCCAAACAGGCAGAGCAAAGTCCCCCAACGAGAGGGGCTTCATGCCTGATCATGACCGGAGGAAGCAGGGGCAGTGAGATGAAGGCCTGGTCACCGTGGGGCAGGGGGGTAAATTGTAAGCACACACAGAGAATCATAAAGCCTAGGAAGGACTGTGTAGGGAGGGAGATGGATAATAACTACCAGTGTTTCCTCACTCCTGGATACCTTGGCAACCTGTATCAGACATGGCGTCTATAGCCACATCCTGGGAGCTTGTTACCCCTATGAGTTCCCCCTGGTAGCTTCAATGCTGACCACTTTTCACCCACAACTTTCCATTCTTTCAGTCCTTCCTTCCTGTTAATATTCTCGGCTCGGTGACCTCTGTCATCTCTTGGTGTCTGAATGCCATCGCCCTCTAGCCCCCATTCCTATACCTGCATTTCCGTGAACACTTGTGTAACTTCTTGGCTTGCTCCCTTCTCACCCTGCTCTGGATATGTCTAGCCCCACAGCTTCGATCACACGCTAAGAAATTCCAAATCTCAACTTTCAGGCCTGGTTTCTCTCCTTAGCTTCTGGATATGAGTCTTCTGGCTATCTTAACTAGAGAGAAATACAGAAAAAGATTGTGGGCTAATGGTGAGGGTTGGGAAAAGCTGAAGGCAAGAGAAGACAGGGACATAGAGGAAGAGGGTCGGTAGCATATTGGACTCCATAGGGAAGAACATCTGGGTCCCAGAACTGGGCAGTTTTCAGTCTATGATGCTGCTTGGAAGTTAGGTTGAGAGGAAGACTGTGGTGAAGAATTCCGACCAGGCGAGCAGGGAATGGGGCCTGGTTTTGTCCTTTTTTCTTGTGGTCCTGTGCATTAATCCGGCCTCCATCTGCTGAGGCCGAAGTCCTCTGTACTTACTATTATCTAAACCCTCCCTCCCCAGTTTCCTCAGACCCCGGAACACTAGCTCTTCCTCTCTCTGCTCCACCCTCCCCTCCCCATTGTCCTTCTACCCAGGCCTCTTATAGTTACCCTGGTGTTGGGGAGGGCCTGCCGCTGCCTCACCAAGCCCATTGGTGAACCCGTTGATGCCGAGGCCACCTGCCTGAGTCTTGATCGCAGACTTGAGCTCGTGATTCTCCCGAATGAGCCGTACCAGCTTCTTCAGTTCCTCGTTTTCCCGCACCAACCTCTCTATCTGATGCCGAAGCCCCTCATAATTTGTAAGTAGAGACATGCCCCAGGGCAGTAGAGAGGGTGCGGCCCAAGGGAGGGCACTGCACTTGGAGGCTGCCCAGGGCCCCGGGCCTTGCCCGGGTTGGAAAAGGGCGTCAGAGTCTGCAAAGCTAGCCCAGTGGGCACTGGGTATTATGAGGTCAGAGACTATACCCTCCTCCTTGCCCTCTACTTTAACAGGTTCAGCTCTCTGTGCCTCCAGACCTGAGCCTTGCCTTCCTTCAGCCTGAAATGTCCTGGCAAGGTCTGGCCAATTTTAATCTCAAGTTTGCCTCTTTTGCAAGGTTTCTCTGCTTCAAGCTAATTGCTGGCCCTGGCTTCCCCGGCAGATGCGACCTGTGTCGTGTCACTTACCTTGTGCCTGGGAGATGAGCCCTCACTGCGTTCTGCTGGATACACAGTGCCGGCGCTGTACTTCCCGAGGGCGCTCAAAACACCTCAGGGGCACATCTTGGTACAGGCATTTGTTGACTATTGTTTTTTGTTTGTTTGTTTGTTTTTTCGAGACAGAGTTTCACTGTAGTTTTGTAGCCTGTCCTGAAACTAACTCTCGTAGACCAGGCTGGCCTTGAACTCACAGAGATCTGCCTGCCTTTGCCTGGGATTAAAGGTGTGTGCCACCACACCACCGTCCAGCCTTGTTGACTATTTATTGATGAACGTTCATTATTCTGCCTTCCTAGTCAGGGTGCCCTTTCCTTTGGATATAGGGCATGCTTGGTTTTCGTCTGTCAGCTATCTCCTGAGGAATCTCTGACTTGGATGCCGGGACATTGGCCCATAATTTCTTCCAGCCACAAGTGCTCCATTCCTTCCCTAGCTCTTGGCCCAGGGTCTCTTTTATCCAAGCACAGGCTCCCCACAGCTTAAGGGTTTCCATTCCTGACACAGGTCCCCTCACTCCCGTCTGTCATGGTACTTCTTTTGCACCCAGGTTTCTGTTTCTTGGGTCCTTAAATCTTCCCGAGTTTCATTCTTTCAAGAATCTAAAATAGGACGTGATGGTGGTCCGGCAGTACCCTCTGTTACTCCATGATTGCCAGGGTTGACGTGGCTGACGTGGCTGG